GCCCCAAACTGCTACACTTCCCGTTCCTTCTCACAAACAAACACTCGGGATCTTCACTCTCCGTTCAGCCATGTCCGCATGCCTTGACAGATTCGCGCAACATTTTTCTCTTACTAACTCTTCCTACACTAACTTTCGCACTAAACTAAAGTCAAATCTGAGGTCGACCGCCCCGAAAACCTAAACATCCTCCCCTCTCTAGCCTAAGTTTGTCCGGAATCGAGCTAGCCACCTTTTTTCCTCTCCACCATAGTCGTTTTCCCCGTCATACCTCTACACACAACTTTCCCCAACTAACTTCCACTTCTCTATAACCTTTTTCCTAATCTGACTTGACAATCGTATTCGCCTACTCTAAACCTCCCCCCCGATTCAAATGCTCCCTCACCCGTTTTCATCAAGAAACGGGTGGAATCTACGATCTTCTCGTTATTTATTCTTCCTCATCGCCATGTCCCCACGCACCTCCTTTCTCTACTAACCACTCTACTACTAACTCTCGACCTTATCTGACGACAACTTCGGGTTCGCCAAGCCTAAAAACCCCGGTCTAACACTTTGGCCTGCCCGATTTCGTTAAGAAACGGGCGAGCTACAAAGTTTTTAGCTCCGCCGTATCTTCTCCTTCACATTCTTCACCATCCAAATTCCCGAACGCATCTGGCGCGAATCTGCACCGAGTTCATTCTGCCTCCTTTTCACTTACCTTCGTCCGTTGCCCCGCTGTTTTTTCGTCCGCGGCTGCTAGCGCAGCGCCTGGTAGTCGCAGTGCCCCGACCCTATTGCCCCATCAATCCTCGCCACTCCGCTCCTCGCTCTTCTCACTATCGGTTCACTAGCGCCTCAGCGCAACGACTTCCTCAGCAACTCAGACAAGGCCGAGGGAGACTTTGGAAACGATCAGCTACGGCTTGGTCCGGTCAGTCTCTCGCCGCTATACCTGGAGGCTGACGACCTGCCTGCTTGGTTGCTATCGCCCAGCTTCCGCCACACTCTCCTCTGGGTTTCCCCTGGGCCGCCTCGTTCACATAGGCTCCGCCACCCTTTCAGCCTCTCAGCGGACAAACCCTTCCCTGACTTCTCATAGCAGGCCGTGGAGCCAAGGGCGCGGGTCTGCTATGTGCCCAAGCGCGGGCCTAGGTGAAACGGCCCGACGCAGATCTTTGTGGTAGTGACAAATATTCACAGTAGAATTTTGAAAACCGTCCTGCAGGGACCGCTACTATAATAACCCGAAAAAGAACCCAAAATGTGGCCCCAGGCCGCCGCTCTGTCCTTGCTCCGGCCCTAACAAGCATGCTCATTCCCCAATTCTCACAGCAGACTATGGGCGGGCAGCGGGCGCCATTACAAAAAACTCCCGCAACCCAGGCCCCTTCCTCCTTGTGGGCCTAGTCACCCACCAGCTCGCATGCACGATGATCTCCTTGGTCCTCGTTCGTCAAGATGAACAGGATAAAGGAGTTTCGCCAACACCCCAAACACGCAGGAACCCATAAGAAAAACCAGAGGAGGCGCACGCTCAAGATCCTTGACTGCCGTGACGACCTTCAAATCCAGCGTCGCGCCCGAATCAAGAAGCACCGGAACAAAATAATAATAATAAAAATATCTAGAAGCTTTTAATCGTCAGATCATGATGAATGAGGAAAAAGAAACCGCTAGCAGCGTCCCAATGCCGCCGACAAAAAAACCAAGGGGGATAGCCCCGCCGGGCCCTCAACCCCGCGGTTCCTCCGCGCTACTTTGATATCTCCGCACCATCGCCGCTCGATCTCTATGCTTGAACCTCCCAAATGGAAGTCCGCCGCTGTAACCAATAGTGCTAGGCCCAAGGCTGAGCCTAGTACTAACGGACACCTAAATAAGCGAATATTGGGCAATGCGCGGATCCATCGAGACGTTCCATTGTTGTCAATGCCGTCCTCCGTACGTATGCACAAGTCACAGTCAAGCACACCAATCACGAGACAAAATCTTTTTAATCCTAATTTAATCAGAAAATAAAATCTTGGCCGGCAACCAACGTTGGCTTCACAATCATCAATAAGAAGAAAAATCACGCGCGCCTTAAGTCTGCGCACACACACACTCTCTACTCTAGTCAGACACAGCCGTGCCTTGCGCGATATACCTAGACTTCAAACCAAACTTATTTCCTGCCGCTTGCAAAAAACAGGGCAGATACCCTTGTAAGGGTATTCGCACTGACAACGCCGTGCAAGGGCGGGGAGGAAGTCGCGCGAGGGGAAGGAGGAGGTCGCACAAAGGGGAGGAGGACATCCGAGGAGGGGGAGGAGTAGGTCACACGATGAGGACGAGAGGTTGCAGGAGGCCGTGCGGAAGGAGGAGGTCATGCTAGAGGAAGGAGTTCGTGCGAGCAGGAGAAGGGGCCCGCCAGTGAGGACGAGTTGCGAGGTTGCACTCGGGGGAGGAGGTGTGTGTGTGTGTGTGTGTGTGTGTGTGTGTGTGTGTGTGTGTGTG